GACAGGTCACGAGAGATTACAGGGCAGAGGTCACAGGCAGAGGAAACCACAGCCCAGAGTCCTCAAATCAGGCTCCTGCTTGGCATGTTTGAATGACTCAGGAATGTCTGTGACACAAAAGCAAAGAAAGTGGGGAGGAGTGTGGTTGGAGCGCCTGTATGGGATGAGAGGCGAGGGACTGCGTACAGCAGGGAGGTGGTTCACAGTTCCCTACACAGTGTACTCACCCTAGGAGCTTTGCAGAAATTCCTAGGCCCAACTCCAAAATCTGTCTTAATGCGTCTGGGTTGAAGCCTAGTAAAGTCTTTATAAAACGTTACCAGAGTAAATCTAGTGTGAAGCCAAGGTCTGGGATGCCCTAGTAACATGTGGCTCTGGCTGTGAGCAAATAGAAAACTGCTGGAGGACTTTGCAGGGAAGAACGACCCAGCCTGATCAGTCTGGTGTCTGCCTCTTCTTCACCCACATTCTCCTCTGGCCCCCCCAAATCATGCCTTAGTTAAAGCTTGGGATCCTGCCTCATCCTTGTGGGGAGAGAGTGGAGAATGAAGTCCCAAGCACCTCACCTGTCCTGCTTCTGCCCATCTCTTTGCTGAAGTGTCTAGGATATAGACACCTAGGAACAAGCGCCCCCCTGTTTCCTTCCAAGAGAGGTTGGAATTAGCTTCGGCCTCTTTCAGTTCCCTCTGGCTTTCAGTCAGCCATACCCAGGCCTCCTTTCCAATGTTGGCTTGAGGCCACAGGCACTTAGAGATTGACCGTGACAACCAGTAAGTGTGTGTGTGTCACTTCTGCTGGTTAGATGTTGAAAATCCAAAATCCGTTGAACGTGTGTAGTTTGTGTAAACTAGCACCACAGACCCACGCAGTCACGCTCTGTAACCACGGAGAAGGACACGCTCAGAAAGAATGTATGTTCTAAATGGCACTTTTTTTTTCCTTTGGGGTAACAGTATAATTAAGTTGTTCGGAGTGAGAACTCTGAAACTGGGTAACTTGCATCCTGATGCTAACACTTTCTAGCTGACTAGTTTATTTTTGTGTGCTTCAGATAATGGTGTCAAACTCCTAAGGCAGATTAAATGAATAAAAACATTTAAAGTGCTTAGGAAAATGCATGGCGCATATTTAGTCCTCAATAAATCCTCAGTTGTAATACATCTATAATTTCCTTTCGATTTAGTCACCATACAAATGGATCTCTCTTTAACTTTATCAACAACATAGGGGACATTTATATACATTTTGGTAGCATTTTAATCATGTTATTCTCTGTTATGTAATTTGAAGTAATCAAAAATTTGGTCCCTATTCCAAAGTGGACCAAATTTCAATTGAAAACGGCAATCTCAAAAACATTTTTAGAACACAAACAATCCATTTTATATCACTGCTGTGCAAACAGAATTATTGGCAAAGCTTTCTGATTCCAGGCCTTCGCATGATAAAAAAGAACAGCAGTTTCTTTGGGACAGGCGGAGTCTGGGAATGCAAAGAATTAAGAAGTAAACAAGAAATGTTTCCAACATATTTGTCTAGGGAACCGTCTAAGGTGGGGGTGGTTGACGAGGAGGAAGGTGACACCCGTTTATCCTCACAGGAGAGGGGCCGTTTGGACTTAGATTATTTCTCTGACTTTCTCTAACCATCTGAATCTGTCATCTTTCATAATTGTCAGAAAATTTATAAAAACTTACTGGGCTATGAAAAGATGATTAAATAGTTATTGAAAATTTAAATGTGATATTTGAAGGTACTCATAGGCCTAGAGGCACCTTCAAAGCAATGTACCTTTATTCCAGGGGAAACTTTTTTTTTTTTAGATCTTTACTTGAGTTTAATACCGCCGCTTGAATGATATTTAATAAAAGGAAAATAGAAAATTCCTCTTAGGAAAGAATGTCCTAGTTTCATCCTTTCTCCTATATTAATTTATAGGTCTCATTTTGACATTGCCCACAGGATAACGTCTAAATTTCTCAGCTCCACAAACTGACCTCAATATTTTCAGGGTCATCTTCCACTGAATCTCTACAAAGACCCTACCTCCTTCATTTCTTTTCAGCTGTCCATGCACCTTACAGGCACACTCATTCCTCCGTATCTTTACTCCTAAAACTGTTGCTCAGCTTCGTTTCTGATGAAATTTTGCACATCTTTCAGACATCAGTTCACTCGGATACTTTTCTCCGATTTCCCATGTGGGATCAGCTTCTTCCTTTCCTCTCTTAGTCCTTTGTTCTTTATTTATTGCCCCTCATCAATTCTGTCTTCTGTTTCAGCTAATTGCATCTTTCTTATCATAAACAGTTAGCTCTTTGAGGAAAAAGTAAAACATTTCTTAGTCATAAGTGTTTAGTATCCAGAACCACATGTATACCAGAACCTCAACAAATATCTGTGGAATGAATGAAATATAAATAACATTTTTCAGAATTAGAAGACAATGTTTGCCTATCACTTTCTTACCTCATGGCGATTTGTCCTGCACCTTCCTGCCTGTTGCTTGTCTTCCATGATAGTCTCATTATGACACTCCTTGCTTAAAGTCCTTTCATGATCCTAAATGAGTTTACAACGATAATTTGACCTGAGTGAGATAAAATTCAAATTTTATTGGATGTTCTTTAAGATCTGATTTATGCTTTGAGAAAATCTCACATCACTCTTTTCCTCACACTCCGTTATACCCCAGCTGAAATTCTTTGTGACCCAGAAATGGTTTTTCTACTTGGAGTCCTCTTTGCTTCCCTTCCCCTTCTCTCCACCTGTCACTGGCTGCCATTCATCACTGGATTCCAGGTAAGATATTTCATTCTGGAAATTATCCCTAGATTCCCGAACCATCTCTAGCTCCAGACTTTCTTGTTGGTGATCTTCTAGATGACAGTTGCAGATCAGAGAGACATAGGTCACTATTTGCTTGTGCCACTTACCAAGCAGTAACTGTAGACCATTACAAATTCTAATATGCATCAGAACAACCTAGAGAGCAAATTAACTCATAGATCGCTGGGCCACATCCTCAGAGTTTCTGATCCAGTGGGTCTGGGATGGTTCTCAAGAATTTGCTTTCCATAACAACTTTCTAGGCATTTCGAACATCTAGATGACGCTGTTTTGGGGAGCACACTTTGAGAACCAATGCGTTGGATAATTTACCTCCATAAGCTTTAGATTCAGCATCTGTAAAAGGCTAAAAGGGATGTTTAAAAAACTAGTGAAGATAATGTGAGTGAAATGTTTGATGTGAATTAGTGATCGATCCGGGCAAGTTAATATTATTTTTACATTATCATCATTTTCATCACAGTGTGTTGAATTGCAGACTGAATAGACTTTGCCAAACAAATAATAGCTCCATAAATAGCAGAGATCACACTGCTCTTCTAATTGTGCATTACCATATGAAATGCATTGGTAGTTACTAAATCAACATATAATGGAGTGAATTCAAATAAAAGCATTCAATCACCATTTAGTAAAACAGACTGAGCGCTTCCTGTAGGTACTGCCTACCTGGGAAGTCTCAGGTTTTCTGTGCTGCTTGCTGTATCTTGGTGTTCTTGGGACTGTTTTTGTTGATCAGGTTCTAAGTCACTTTTAGTTACAGTGAGTCAGTCCCCACAGGTTTTGCTTCTAAGAAAATTATATGAGCAATATATACAGCTTCCTTCTGTAAAGCTGTATATATTGCTCATATAGTTTTAGAAGCAAACTTAGAAATGAATAACTACGTGGACTATTTTTTTTTAACACGGACTATTCATTTGTCTCTGTAGATTCAAGTTCATATGAATCAAACCATTGCAACAGGGTGTCCCCTGCTCTCTGTGCGTGAACATACGCCTTCATCTCCCAGTGGATACAGGCTAGAGAGTAATGTGAAGAATTTAACTTGTAGTTCTTTGCAAACTCCTGAATCTTCCTCTTTCGAAAAACCTTTCCTGCTTCTACTGTCTGTCTATACCCCCGTCCTTCACTTTGACTTCAGAGCCTCTGATTTCATATTAACTCCTTGGTTCAGCAAATATTTTGTCACCAGCTGCCATGTGGCAAGCATTATTACTGTCAGGGCGGTGATGCCAACTAAAACAGCTTCTGCTTCACAGAATCCAGATCATGACATTTACAAAATTATATATTGTAATTCTTTATTTTCCTGTCTCTTACGCTAAATGTGAACCTTCTGAGGGTAGGTGCAATATCTAAAAGAACTTTGGGTCTCAGGCTCAGTATCTTATATATGGTAGATTTGTACATGTGGGGAATTATTATTTACATAGAAAGACCCTTCCTGTTATATCCATGAGAAACGCAACTGAGTATCGAGAATCATAATCTGCTGGTCCATGAAACATTGTGGCACTAAATATGCATTCTTCCACTTACAAAGTATTGTTTGTTTGAATTTTAATTTGGGTGACCAATAAAATGGGGGAGACTTTACAGAGATCCAGATTTCTAGCTTCTCTTGAAAAGTCCCCGAATTCCACATTCCTGTACTTTGCCCATGAGAGAATCCGCTTCCAGTCCACCTGCTCCCTGAGCTGGAGCACCTCCTTTTTTATCACCGCAACCCTACCACGCCCTGTTGTGTTACTGGAAATAATAACTTAGTCCCCCTTCTTTAGTGATGGGGGAGGCTCCCAAGCATTTGCCTTCATTTCAACTCTATAGTCCATTGGGTCATCGATCTAAATTTTGTCTGAGCTGTTTTCCTGCGTATTCACGGTCTTTCACGTGTATCTCAAACTAATCAGATAATTTCCTGCTACATTCTATTGGAATATGTGTCCTGGTCCACAGTAAAAATAGATCTAAACCTTTCTGATTGTTTTCCCTCTTTATGATTTTTAAACTAACTCTTTTTTTTTTTTTTTTTTTGGTCTTGGTTCCATCATAGGAGATTAGCACACTTAAAAACAAAATAGAATTCACATTTTACCTTAATTAAACTTATAGTTTATTAAGCCAACTGTATTCCTTCTTTGTTTCAGTTATCCTTAAAAAGAAGAGGAAGCAAAGATTTGCCGAAATCCGAAAAAAAGCCTCAACAGACCCCCACAGAGGTACGTAGAAATAAAATTTCAAGTACCTCAAATGTATATAATAAGCTACATGTAAAGACATAATTTTTTTAATTTTCGATTTTAATCGTTATGGGTACATAATGGTTATACATATTTATGGGGTACATGTGATATTTTGATACAAGCTAATTGGGGTACTCAAGCATTCGTCATTTCTTTGAGCTGAGAACATTCCAATTCCACTCTTTTAGTTATTGTGAAACAGTACTTTATTATTAACTCTAGTCACCCTACTGTGCACCATAATGGTCAAATAGACAAAGTAAATTACGCACATCAATTATGTAGCTGTAGATACAGGTAGTGTAAAGAATTCAGCGATAAAGCCAGCATTGATATCCCCGTTACACTTACTTTTACACTGTAAGCATACAGCAGCATGTCATTAGTGCTTTATGTTCTGCCGTATTTAAGAACTGTACCCATGATGTTAATCTCGTTCTTTCATAATAAGGTCAAAAGAATGGCTGTTCCTATAGGATCAGGGGAAGGTAAAGAAAGGAATGTTGTAGGAAGGGATGGCGGAAGGGAGAGAGAGGCTCATGATGTCTTCAGAGAGCCCTAGAACGAAGAAATTCTCTGTGCCAGTGATAAGAGAAGCAAAAGAAAGGGAACAAAGCAATAAACATAAAGACAAGATGTACTTAACACGTGCTTTTATTAACTACCTTAGAAAGAGCCACAGTAAAGAATAGCTCTGCTTTCGGGGTGACCAGAAGGTGCTGATGGTTGTAAGGAAGGAGATGTTAAAATAACGAGGAAATATTTGAGATAGAAGTGACATTGACACATAGCTAGACACTGACTTTTAAACATGTAAGTTGGAATCTATTTAACTACATGCATATTAATACCCGGGTTTACTTTCAGATGCACTTAAAAAATGTACTTTTAAAAATTATTACAAGGTGTTTTCTCATTACATTAAAGTGATACTTCAATATTCAAAATTTGACAAGTTTATTTCAGTCATTTTTTGGAAGCCTAGCATATTCAGTGTGTATTGGTTTCCTTTTCCGCTATCCCCTCACTCTCTTCTTGGTTAATTTTCCTCCTGGCACTTGTACAAGAACAGTTGTGAGCCTCAGGATTTCAAGAGTCCCAGAGAGTCTTATGTCAAGATCATAGCACCTTATTTTGCACCTTTCTCCCTGTTTCCTTAATAAGTCCAAATGTGCTGTGTCACTACAGCTTTTTCATTCTCTGCTTTCGCTTTGTCAGCTCTCTCTAAATATGAGGCTGTGGTTCATTTCGTGCTGCCATGAGTTTTCTTTCCATCCTTGTTTAGGGGGTAGATGCGATAAGCTCCAGGTTCTAAAATCTTAAGTTGGCTTTATTTAACAGTTTATTGAAGAAAAAACAAACCATATTTGTTCTATTCTTATACTTCCTATGTTAAAGTTTACTTTTTCATTAATATTCACTAATCCAGGAATTCTCAAATTCTCAGCTGTGTGTTCCTGGCCTGGTGGACTTCCCCTCCACGTGCATGTGCTCAAGGGGACCTTTTTGCAAAAGACATCTACAGCTTTCATTAGTGTCTCAGGGGGCTGGCCTTATGAAAGTCAAGATGTCTTATAGTCCACTAGCTTTTGTTTCATGAGCACGAACTCCCTGGGATGTTTACAAGTATACCATTGGGCATTTGAACTCCCCACTATCATTTCTAATGCATTTATTTTCACAGATTACGACCTGTCACTTTTCAAACACCCACCCCAGGAGATTGATCAAGGCTGTCCCCGGTAGGATATCTCAATTATAAAATGGTCCATTTTCATGAAGTTACAATAATTCTGTTGCTCAGTCAAGGCTGAGGACACTGATCCACATGTATTTATTACTGCGAGCATCACCTTCTGCTGATTCCTGTTTAGGTGTTCACCTTAGCCAGGGCATATTGTAGACAGCACCCATCTTACTCAGCTTTGCATTGTCTGTATCTCGTGTCCAGCACCCTGCACGTGTATAATATAGGCATGCAGTCCCCAGGTTCCAACAAGATCAGTTCTGTAGGTTTGTTCTTAAGTTAAATTTGTATTTAAATTGAAAGAGGTACATTTACCTAGTACCTGGAATAGCCTCCATTCATAAATGCCAGTCATACATCAGTCAGATATTTGTAACTCAGGGATTTACCATAATACCTTCTGTTCATAAGTTTACTTTGTATGTAAATCAGATGTTTGTAACTTAGGGACTGCCTGTACATGTCCCCCTTTTCTTGCTTGAACCACACGACATTGCCAACATGCTATTGATTTTGATCTACAGAAATGGCAATTTCATATAGTCCAAACTTCTATGTCCGTATAGCTTTGTATTTCATTTTGTTAATTTGCTTCAGCTTCTTTGATCTATTCCTTGCATGTTCCTCCAGCAGCAGTGACTTCATTTACTGGGAAACGGTATTGCATCACGATTCCGAACTGTAGCTCCAGGGCTGGGTTGTCTAAGTTGAAATCTCTGGCCTATACCAGCTGTTACGACCTTTGACAAGTTACTTATTCCTTTTGTGCCACTATTTCCTCATTTATAAAACAGGAGTCATAATAGAGAGTTGTTGTATGGATTAAATGGGTTAATATATGTAAATGCGATTTCGCTTCTGGTAGTGGCTCTTTAAGTCAAAGGCAGGCTTAGCTTACTTTTTTACTGACCCTTCATTATCTTATATTCCCTTCCTCATAATCATCTGTACCTTCTTATGAGTGAGTGAGCAAATCTTTAACATGCACAAAAATAAGAAATAACTGGCTTCATACCTCAGAGCATTTTAATCTTTCTTTCTGGCCATTTACTGTGGAAAATACAAGCAAACATTTACTGCTTTGTCACTGTGGACCAGCCATTTCCCATACAGTCTTCTATTTTTTTTAAACAATTCTATATAGCAGTGGTTCTCCACCTTCCTAATGCCACAATGTATTTCCATTGTTAAAAACGGGTTGAAACCCACAGGTTGAGAACTGCTGACATACAGTATTTCTATGCCCAGTTCCAAATTCAGCTTGCAATAAATTAGGTTGTAACACGGGGACACGGGGTATATTGGCAGATTGGGTTCTTAAGCTCTTTGCATTGCAGAAATTAGCAGGCTTTGCTAAAGAAGATTTCTTTGTAAATGAAGAAAATGATTATTGTGCCCATCATTCTCTTGATGTAACTCCTTCCCTCATGATGCATAATGACTTTATTACATGCAGAATATGTCTGAGAGTTAAAATAATTGTTATGTTTTTATTTCTTCAGGCAAGAGAGCTCACATACACACAAATCAAATATTCTTCTCTCTTTCTTAGCTTAGCATAGCCCAATGAAGTGTTACTCTGCTCCAATCTGTAGCTGGTGTCACACCCACTGCTGTTTTGGTTAGAATCAAACTGCAGCATATGCATGTGTGTATATGTGTGTGTGTGTGTGTGTGTATGCATATATATATATTTTTTGGGGGGGGGCTACTAGCAAATAAAGGCCTGGCCTTGCAGTCAAGGACTTCCACCACCCATGTAGCCCTACCTAGCTCACCAGTCTGATCTACTCTTACTTTTTAATACAACCTAGCTTATTTGTAAAAACATATTTGATATTTTGGGTCACTTTTCAATTCCAACATTGTTTCTAATCACCAGCCTACATGATCTTAGACTTCCCCTCCCAGACCTCTGATCATTTCTTATCCATCTCCCTTTCTTTTCTTCTCCTCTCTGGTTGCCTCTGTGACCACTGCAAGAACTTCAGCTTCTTCAGCTTCTTCACTTCCACAACTTCAGCCCCTCTGTGCATCTCAGTTGCATGTCCTCACCTGTGGACCTGAGTTCTCCAGGTGCCAGGCTGTGATCTTTGTAACCTTGAGCCTGAGATTACAGATGCTTGCTGATAGATATTTCCACTCTGTACCCTTTTGCTGACGCACCTCGAAGAGAGCATGTTACAAAACTTAAGCCCATGTGATTCCCACAGCATCTGTTCTTTGTTCCTTCTCCATCCCTGTTCTTGGCAGTACAATCCAGGGAGATACTTAAACTCTAAAATCTAGGGTTATCTTTGATGCCTCTGATGATAAAATCTTAATACTAGAAAACATTTTTTTTTCTTTGTGGCCATGGTGTTTTATTAGGTCAAAAAAGGTCAAGAGATCTGCTGGCCATGGCAGTGAATGTGTTAAACACTGTGCTATGCCCTTGGCCTCATCCTCACTGAGTTAGTGGGAGGGTCTCCACACACAGCCTCCTGCAGGGTGGCTTCCCCCTACCCTTGTGAAACGGATTCTCCCATCAAAGCTCTCTGTGACTCAGCCTCTCATTCTCATCCCTCTGTTGCTGCTGAGGCTCTCTCCTCACTTCTGGCTGTGCTTCTCAGATAAGCCAGCACATCTGGTTTCTTTGGTTTTACTGCCTTGCCTTATTTTTCTTCTTTCATGCTTCTTTTCTAGAAGCAACATGTGCAGTGGAAAGAATATGAGTTTTGGAATCAGCCTGAGTACAGACTGTGCTCTGTCATTAGTAACTTGTAGTCTGCTGTATGAACAAACCTCTCTTACTGGTAAAGGGGAGGTCTTGTAGGGCTGATGTGAGTATTTAATATGCAAGTGATATTCAGCCTGTGCACACCCAGCAGCTCTCAACCCCCTGTATTCCCATCAGTGGGTGGGAGGACAGGGGACCTGTGCCCTGTTCTCCATCTTTTCCATTTCAGAGGCTCTGGGCCTTATTTACTGAGCATCTCCCACAGAAGTTCATCATTCTCCTCACCATCCTCACCAAAGGTTGCTCCTCCTTTACCAGAATGCATCTCAGACACAGGTGATTCCAAGTACTGTGTAAGGCAGGCATATTTATTCCCATTTAAAAAATGAGGAAAGCAAAGTTCATAGACGTTACATGATTGGCCCCAAAGTGCATACTTAAAAGAAAATTTGGGGAACTTGTCTTTGTGAGATATGTCCTGGGACTCAAAAACATGCTTCTAAAACAGCTCTCAGGGAAAGAATGGATTTCCACTTCTCATTTCTTACTTTTCCATTTAGTTGGTAGTTAGGCTTTGAATGTTGTGATTAGAATGTGTAAGCGGAACTTTTACAGATAGATCCTACTCCAGTATCCTTTCACCAGCAAGATCCATCTCTATCCATGTCAGACTGGTGAGAGTACATCCTACTTTAAAAGTGAGCTCTATGGGATACCTAACAGTTTCTCCATGGACGGGCTGGTCCATAAAGGCCTTTAAAAGAATTCTCCTGTGAATGAATGTGGAGGGCATCATGATCATGAGTCTGAGCCTTAGTTTCAGGCAGACCTGAATTCAGATTTCACCTTAGTCCTCTGCCACTTGTTAGCTGGGTAACCTTAAGTCACTGAACATCTTTAAACTAGGAATTTAATACTTAAGACCAAGAGGAGTGCATCATGGCAGAGCTCAACAATTTGCTTACTTAAAACTTAAGTTTACTGTGAAAATTAAATTAGGTCATCTATGTAAAGAACTTTACAGCATCTGGCTTGGAGGAAATGTTCATTAAATGGCAGTGAGTGCATATCAACCACGTTTTCTCCAGTGAATAGGGTTTGCCTTTATTACAGTAATAGCCAAATAAACAAAAAGAGCTCTGTTGAAATGGCCAGCAATGGTTGTGTGCTGTTACAACACATAATCTCTGAACAGTGACAAACACAGTTTTTCTCTCTCTGTATTCCTTTTCCTTCTTTTTTCCCAGGATGTAATATTGTCCTATCCTAATCTCTAATTTGCCAAAGAATTGAAGTGATTTGAAGGAAGCACACAGCATCTGTTCTCTCCGTGTGTCAATAAATCTTGATTGCAGAAAAACAAAATCCTTTCACAGGTGTCCCTGTTTGACGGGTGTCTTGATTTGCTTAAAAATGATCTCCTGTCCTTTTCTTTCTTTTCCCCACAATGAGGAGGACAATGAAGATCTGAAATGCCAGCTGCAGTTTGTTAAGGAAGAAGCTGCTTTGATGAGGAAGAAACTGGCCAAGATTGATAAAGAAAAGGACAGATTCGAACACGAGCTCCAGAAATACAGGTCCTTCTATGGGGATCTGGACAGTCCTTTGCCCAAGGGAGAAGCTGGGGGACCTCCCAGCACCAGGGAGGCCGAGCTCAAGCTCCGGCTGAGGCTGGTGGAGGAAGAAGCCAACATCCTGGGCAGGAAAATCGTGGAACTTGAGGTGGAGAACAGGGGCCTGAAGGCCGAGCTGGACGACCTGAGGGGCGATGACTTCAATGGCTCGGCCAACCCCCTCATGAGGGAGCAGAGCGAATCCCTGTCGGAGCTGCGGCAGCATCTGCAGCTGGTGGAAGACGAGACCGAGCTGCTGCGCAGGAACGTGGCCGACCTGGAGGAGCAGAACAAGCGCATCACGGCGGAGCTCAACAAGTACAAGTACAAGTCGGGCGGCCACGAGAGCGCGCGGCACCACGACAACGCCAAGACCGAGGCCCTGCAGGAGGAGCTGAAGGCGGCGCGCCTGCAGATCAACGAGCTCAGCGGCAAGGTCATGCAGCTGCAGTACGAGAACCGCGTGCTCATGTCCAACATGCAGCGCTACGACCTGGCCTCGCACCTGGGCATCCGCGGCAGCCCCCGCGACAGCGACGCCGAGAGCGACGCGGGCAAGAAGGAGAGCGACGACGACTCGCGGCCGCCGCACCGCAAGCGCGAAGGGCCCATCGGTGGCGAGAGCGACTCGGAGGAGGTGCGCAACATCCGCTGCCTGACGCCCACCCGCTCCTTCTACCCGGCGCCCGGGCCCTGGCCCAAGAGCTTCTCCGACCGGCAGCAGATGAAGGACATCCGCTCGGAGGCCGAGCGCCTGGGCAAGACCATCGACCGGCTCATCGCCGACACGAGCACCATCATCACCGAGGCGCGCATCTACGTGGCCAACGGGGACCTGTTCGGACTCATGGACGAGGAGGACGACGGCAGCCGCATCCGCGAGCACGAGCTGCTCTACCGCATCAACGCGCAGATGAAGGCCTTCCGCAAGGAGCTGCAGACCTTCATCGACCGCCTGGAGGTGCCCAAGTCGGCCGACGAGCGCGGCGCCGAGGAGCCCATATCCGTGAGTCAGGTACAGTTCTGCCTACTGCGAGCCCGGGCGCGGCCGGCCTGGCCGCGGAGCTGCCGTCCCCGGAGGGGCGTCTCCGCGCCCAGACGGCCGCGCCCCGCTTCAGGGCCTCCCTGCCCGGAGTCGGCCGCGGGGGAAGCCCCGGCCGGCTGCCTGGTCCTTCGCGCTGCCCTTCTCCAGGCCTGAGGTTTCTGTACCCCAATCTCTAAGTCACCATTTCCCCTCTGAAATTTAGCACTGTCACCCTCGGTTTTGGGGTAAAGGTTGAAGGATTTTTAAGATTCATTATTATCATGGAAGGTCAACATTTTTCAAAATGACTCTGCCAACACATCATACTGCAAGCAGGTCCTTCCAGTAGTTGAGTGTTAAGATTTTAAAACATTTCTTGAGGCGGACACAGTGGCTTATGCCTGTGGTCCCAGCTATCTGGGAGATTGAGACAGGAGGCTTGAGCCCTGGAGCTCTAGACCAGCCAGGGCAACATAGTGAGGCCTTGTCTTTAATATAAATTTAAAAAGAAAATAATAATAATAAAAATAGAAAAGGAAAGGAAATCCAGGCAAAAGCTCTGGCAGGCCTGGCTTTTAAAAAAATATAAATATAACAACGAAGCAGGCAATAATGCTGGATACCTGTAAATATATGATGGAAAACAGCAGTCAAGGGCATGATTTTTCAAGAGCCCTATCAAAGAGAACCAATGAAAGCCTCCCCTTTATGGTTCAGCTAAAGTAACATGATGGTTATTTCCAGAGACAATCACTGTCAGTTCTGTGGTGGAGAATCTCAGGACTGGGAAAGGAGTGTTGTACTTGAAGGCAACACTCATTCAGAGAAATAGTAATAACTATTCCAGAACAGGGAAAACCAGTATTTTTCCTCCATCCTGATTTGTAGAGGCACACCGGATGAATTGGACTGAGCTGCTTTGGCCAGGTACGGTGGCCACTTACAGACCAATGCATTTTGTCAGAGTTAACCACGTGAAAGATAATTTATGAAACAAAACAGGCAGTGCTGTTCCCGCTGGCAAGCCTGGTGTCCTGTATCCATGGGAGAACTCACGGAAGTACCAAAGCATGCATGGCTTTTAAGACACGCAATGCATTTATATTTAAAAATCGGTTTATACACAGAAGCATGATATTAGATTAACTATCTATGAGTTCAACTAAGAAAACTGCAGCCCTGTTGCTTAATTTATCTTGCATGTTGCTGTGCTTTGCTATGAAAAAATAATAATTTGGGGGATAAAACTTGGTGGATTTCGATATGTTAAGGGTTACCTTTTTCTATCTATTATATCAGGGAATTGGCTTTTAGTTTCCTTGTTGCAGATTTTTGAATACTATGAGCATGTAGTTTTTAAATGATTTACCCTCAGGGGAAATCAGAGTGAGAAAGAGCATTGTGCCTTAACCAGCTTTCAGATTTTATAAATACAGGCTTAAGGTGGGGGGCAGGTGGTCTGATGAATCCTTAGATCAGTTGATATAAATTTAAGTTTTAAAAATTATTATTAATTAACGCTTCTCTTTGTTTTTGCATTTACCTTCCCAGATGTTCCAGCCTATCATTTTGCTTATTCTCATTCTCGTATTATTTTCATCACTTTCTTACACAACCATATTTAAACTTGTTTTCCTTTTCACATTATTTTTTGTACTGTAAAACTTTCATCATTCACCATTCATTATAGTATTTTCAGTTTGTTTTATTTTCTTCATCCTTCAAGACCAGAAGTAAAAGAAGTATAATTTCTGTAGTAACCAATGCTGTAAAAACACTGAAGACTGCTTATTTCTTTAAAAAGACAAAACTCATCTTACCACTACCAAATTCAATAAGAAGCCCAAGCATTAAAATATTTCAGGTAAGGAAGTAAGTACCTTTTGTTACAAATCGTAATTTTTGCTTCCTCCTTTTACATCTTGATTTGATAAATCAAATATTTATCTCTTCTTGATAAATAATTGGCAGATTGAGCTCCCCCCAAAATTAACTAAAACATTCATAATTATGTCTTAGTAGTTGACAATTATGGTAATTCAAAAGCTAATATTCACAGGTTGGTCACATTTATAGAAATTATATAGATTTATAAAGTTTCTTTGTTAGGTTGCTTCAGACTAACCAGATAATTTTGACATCCAATAAATAACTGTGAACAATATGATGAATGAATGAAATGTGACCTTCATGGAATATAGTAATGTATTGTAAGGCCGGTCTGTTCTCTTTACAGAGATATACTTGGAAGCATGAGAGTAGATTAGGTCTTAAAAAATGAATATCTCCTACTGTATTTTATCAGCTTCCCACCAAACCAGCCACTTCAGCTTTTTCTTAGAGCCATATTGCGAATTAAGCTTGTTGCCGGGAGTCCTGTCATCTTTTAACAGGTTGCCTGCAGAACAGGAAATATACTATAAAAATGGTATGTGAATTGTTTAGGGTAGGGGAAAAAAATAGTCATTCTCTAGATTTGATTAAATCACAATCCCAGTCCAGTAGCACAGTCCCAATGGGAAGTGCTCTCGAAATATAAACTTACTTTAGTTTATAAATATGAGCATCCCCCTTACTCTTCATATCTAACATGGCTGGGAGAGATTCCGGGTACCCCAAAGCCCTATTCTGTCTTAGTAGTTTACCCCATGAAGAGCTGGAATGCACCAGTGCCACTCAAGGTTCGGAAATCTCAGCACTGTCAAAGTCATATACTTGTAAATACTCACTGGTTGGTTGGTGGATATAAAAATCTTCGGTAAAGAGAAATATCTTGTATCTTGGCAAAAAAGTAATGTGTGAAAAAACTTTTCTCTAGCACAAAAGTTGGTACTGGTAACAGCCTTTTGAATCCCAGGAATTTCACTTGCAACAGACCACAATTTATTTATAGCCTTATCCTGCCCACACTTTCATTTCCTTTCAAGTATTAGTTAAAAAAAACAAAAAACCTAACAACTTCACAGTTGTCCGAAAGTTCAATTAAAGATTACTGCTCTTACTCTCTATAGACTTTTTCTTGGTTGTTGTTCGTTTTTCTGCTTGTTTTTGGTTAAGGGAGGGAAGTCCTAGAGGAGTGGTAGTTAACCAACAGTTGCAACCTGCTGACAAGTACTTCTGTGTTTCCATTTTGGAGGTTCAAAGGGCTAGGTAGAACTTCTTTACAAAAATGAATGCAGTAAGATAAATCCCATGAGTAATCATTATGATTCAAGTTTACTTTTAAAAAAATTTTATCTCAGGGGGCAGCAACCACGTTAAAAACCAAAATCTGTCTTTTAGATCCAGGTCACCACCTCAAAGAACTGAAAGTCAATATTTGATGGCTGTATGGAAATGTCTGGAAGTATTGCAGGTTGTCACAGGGCCTGGGAAACTCTCTGGCATTAGAGGGAAGGACTCAGAGTCTCAAGCTCCCTGTGATTCCATGTCACACATAATTGTTTCGCCCAAATTGCTGATACCGTCTTTGTGGAGAAACGTGGTGTGTGATGCAGTCGATACCCCAGAAGCATCTTGCCTCTTTGCCACTCTGTGTGGCTTCAGAATTATGGCTTTCTTTGTCATGACAGGAATCAAGAACTAAATATCTAGATCAGTGGTTCTCAACCCTAGCTGCACATCAGAATTTCTGGGCTGTTTTTGGTGGGGACCCTACCCCATACTAATTGAAACTAAATGTATGGATAGGTATTTATAGTTCTTTAAACTTTGCAGAACCACTGCTTTTAGATATTTGGATTATCTGAACTCTTATATTCTACATAGCTGCAGCAGAGGTTACAATAAACTGTGTGATACTAGGACATAGGATCATCAGCTGTCTGGGTTTAAGTTGACCTTAAAGATCCAGTGACTCAGTGGATGTCTGAATCCTGGCTAGACACTTCTACTCAGAACAAAGCTGTTCTGTTTCTACCCTGGCTGGGGGTGTCAGAATACTCTCCTTGCATTAATACAGGTTCTCAAAAGCAACAAAATCATTGACAAGTGGGAATAAAGAGTACCAAGATGAAGCGTGTATGAGTGCAAGGTCACACACACACCTAGAGATTCAGGCATGTGTGCACACTGAATTCAAACCTCAAGATGACCCAACAATGCCATGCATGCTATTACGGTAAAATGCATTCTTAGATGGAAGGACACCAGAAATGTATGCAGGGGTGGCACAAATACCTGAGTGATAACTTGTGACCTGAATAAGGAAAGAAAGGCCTCAGGGCTAACCAAAATACCAGCCTCATCTTTAGATCTCTTTTTAGGAAGTATGGTCCTTCTGGCAACAGGGTGGAAGAATTTCATGAGAATCATGAACCCTGTCCAGGTCCTCCCCCTATAAGCGACCTCTGTAAGATACTGGGGAAGAGAAAGTAGCCTGAAATGGGGCTGCCTTGACTGCTGCTCTCAGGTTCTGTGGGATTTGGGATCAGCCTACAGCTCCTCTGAAGTTAGACAACTTTACCATATAGTTGAATTCCCGGGAGACTCTTTCCAACTCTTCCCTACCTACTGTGTGGACAGCATCCCTGCTGAGCCCATGGGCACAGACACTCCTCCGTCACATTAGGCTGCAGAATGAGGAATGCATTCAGACGTGCCTGTATCTCCAGGGACATGCTGGGGGCCAGGGGGTTAAAGGTGATCTCAGCAAACTACCAGTAGGCATGAAGTGACTTTTTCCCTTGCTATAACTTCAGGCTGTTCTGTGGACATCCAGCATCTCTGTGTCTTTTTCATACATCACAGGACATAGACTAGGAAAGAGCCGTTAACAAAGATGGTGCCCAAGACTGTGAGAGAAAGTTCCCAGAATCTGCATCCCCTCCCCTTTAATCTGCATGATTTATGTTGTATTAAACTAGTTTTGAAAGAGGAATACACATGCTTCTTTGTTCACCAAGAGAGCAAAGTCCCCCAATTAGTGAGATGAGATCTTCTTTTGTTTGCACCTTTGAAGCTGTGTTATTTAAATATCACACTGAAACTAAACTCAAAAAATGAAGCTTACTGTAGAAAATACCCTTGCATGCACATTCTTGGCCTTAGGAACAAGTGTCGTTGTTAATTTGGCCTAGATGTAAGAAAAAAGGAATTCAGTTGGCTATTTTTAAGCATAACTGACTAAACTCATTTAAAAAAAAAACCTCAGTGCTGAGCTTGGAATGTGTATTGGCCTGCATTCCCCAATCTTCACTTCAATTTCTGTGGTAGAATAGGATATAATTATCTAATCAGCTGCCAGCAAAGTTTGGAATGTGAATTTGGTAGCTCAGCCTTAACTCCAAATATTTGGACAGTGTTTACAGCTACATTCTCACAGAACCACAGCCCAATTCATCTGGTAGAGGCATGCTTTGGGTCAGATGCCCTAATGAATGATAGATAGAAATGAAAGTGGGTAGTATCAGGAAGCAAAAAATTTGGGGACTATTTATTAAACTACTGGAACTTGGTGCAATATGTATGAAGACATAGTTGCTTAAACCCTACTTATATAAACAAAATTATGAAGGACTTTTTTTTTTTTTTTTTTTTGGAGACAGAGTCTCATTTTGTTGCCATTGGTAGAGTGCCATGGTGTCATACCTCACAGCAACCCTCACATTCTTGGGCTAAAGCAATTCTCTTGCTTCAGCCTCCCAAGTGGCTGGAACTCAGGTGCCTACTACAACATCCAGCTATTTTTTTTACAGATGGGGTCTGTTCTTGCTCAGGCTGGTCTTGAACTCCTGAGCTTAGTCAATCCACCTGGCTTGGCCTCCTATATTGCTAGGATTACAGATGTGAGCCATCCTGAGCAATATGAATACTGTCTCCTAGACCTGTGTTGTCTACTAGAACAGCCGCTTGCCACACATAGCCACTGAGCCTTCAAAGGTGACAAGTTCCAATTGAGATGTATTGTACATGTATATGAAAAAAGAATGTGAAATCTCAATTTAAAAATATTAGGACTGAGGTTCGGCGCCTGTGGCTCAAGCGGCTAAGGCACCAGACACATATACCTAAGCTGGCAGGTTTGAATCCAGCCCAGGCCCACCAAACAACGATGGCTACAACCAAAAATTAGCCAGACATTGTGGCAAGCACCTATAGTCCCAGCTACTTGGGAGGCGGAGGTGGGAGAATCACTTGAGACCAGGAGTTGGAGGCTGCTCTGATGCCATAGCACTCTACCTAGGGCGACAGCGTGAGGCTCTGTCTCCAAAAAAAAAAAAAAAAAAAAAATTAGGACTGGTGTGGTGGCTCAACCCTGTAATCCTAGCACTCTGGTGAGCCAAAGCGGAAAGATCACTTGAGCGCAAGAGTTCCAGAGCAGCCTGAGCCAAGAGTGAGACCCCATCTCTATTAAAAAAAAAAAACTGGCTTGGCACCTATGGCTCAAGTGGCTAG